ACACACACACACACACACACACACACACACACACACTCCATCTCCACTGCTGGCTCCAGGTCCTGGGGAATAGAGATTGATGGATTCTACAAATGACAGAGAAGCCTCTGGGGACTGCAGCATCAAGACTGACCACCAGGGGACAGCATATGTACCACATACCCCACAAATATTCCTTGCTTGATTGGCAGGGTAAAAGATAAACCTTGCCGACTGGTAACTGGGGAAAACTAGAAACATAAATCCTTAACTTGCCAATGATACTGAGTATTTCCCTAGCTGTTTCTTGGTTTTGATTTTCCCTGTCTCTAGTACTTTGCTCAACAACCTGCCATTATGGGATAGAAGTACAGGGAGAGCTTTAGGTAAAGGGCTTCTAGTCCTAGCTATGTAATGCAAGCACTGCTTTCATTGTAATGGAATATTCCCTCCCACACACATCTAGCGGGATTCTTGGAGAGAATAAACTTATACTCTGACAGGTTACTTGGGTTTGAATCCTGGCTCTGATATTTTCTGTTTCTATGTTTGTTAGCAGAAGGCAATGCAGTATAGTGGATAAAGTTTGAGACCTAGGTCTAAGACCTGCCTCTGATATACACTAGCTGTGTGACCAGCAACAAGTCCCTTAACCTCCCAAAGGCCACCTACCCACCCCACTGTGGACAACTCTCTAAGACTCAAAGTACAGACAAACTGAAAATATGTGTTGGTGAAGGGAGATTCCACATCGAGAGTTCCCTACGCTGATGAAAGTATAGACCTAGATTTTTTTAAAAGTGACTCGGCTATGTCACTTAAACTCATTCATCCTTTGTTTTCAGCCACCTCATTTGTGCAGGGAAAGATTTGGACTAGACAGACTTGAAGGACCGTTCCAGCTCTTTATCAATGATCTGGTTACCCCACCTTCAAAGACATTCTGCGATAGAGATCTCACAACCTCCCTTCTTTAATGGCTTCAATGTTTCATCACCCCGGCTGTTAGGAAGAAAATGCTTCCTTAGGTCTAACCTGCAGCCTTCTTGCTACAGTCCCTGTCCTGTTTCCTCCGATCTTCTGCCTAATGTAGATAGAAAGCAGAAAGAGCGCTGATCTTAGACTAGACAGACATGGGTTTCACCAAGCCCCAGCTCTGACATTTGTAAGCCGTGTGACCTGTGTGAAATGGGAAAAGGATATCTCTAACCCTCAGTTTTTCTTCTGTAAAATGGGGGTCGCCATACCTACCCCATAGAATAGTAAGGAAAGTAAAGTGCTACGTAGAGAGACCTACGTGAGTTCTGATTGTGGAGATCAGTTGGTCAGTTCTCATTCTATAATGTTAAAGAACTCCGTGATAAAGGATTCTTATACTTCCTAACCCTTCCCCCCAAGACACCCAGATTCTATGTTATCGTAGAATGACGGCTTCCTCAAAGCCCTCCTCATAGCCATATGAATTCCTTACCAGGGGCACAGTTGTCCACCAGGGCCCCCAGGGCCTTGCCATCCTGCCAATCTCTGTTGAAGTTGGTGATGGGCAGCTGGGGCACCTTATTCTGGATCCAGCCAAGTAACCGCTGCTTGGGGGTCTGTTTGCGAGCATCTTCATCATCCTCATCCTCCCACATGGGCATGGAGATGGAGTAGTGCAGGATCAGGGTCCAGATAAGACCCAGGATCAGCTTTAAGTTCCCATCCACAATGGCCTTGCTATCTGTGGGGAGAAGTGTCATGAAAGAAGTCATTCCCTCTGCAGCTTTCTCTGCCTTCCCAGAAACCCTGCCTTCTCTCACAGGGCTCATTTAATCAATCAATAACTCTAGGTGGCG